CCATTAGGCAAAGGTAGGAGACCGCCTTGGGCCCCCAAAAGCCAAGGGCCCCCTAAAATGCTTTTTATATGCGAGATGCGTGTTCAGTGCTGAGGCACAAGTGGTTGCTGTGGTATTCATTACCACGACAACCGTCTGTGCGTCCGCGTTGAACGTGCTTCTTAGCAAAAGTAGGACGATGAAGAAAATGGGGACGGAATCCCGGAATCTATTCATAAAAACGGAATTTACTGTGTAACGCGGAAAGTGACGGAATGAACGGCGCAGACGCGCGTTTCATTTGCTATTTAAGCACGCGCAACGCTCGCGGTTGTCATCTGTAGTAGCTAAATAGTATTTTTGCCATTTAATATTCACATACACTAGTCCATATCGCGGTTTGATTGAAGTGTACTGAATTGCATTTGATTTATTCATTCAATATTTGACGAATTCCGTGACATTGCTCGTTACACAGTAAACGTCTCTTGTGTAGCATTTTGAATGTAAAAAAATAAAGGGTTTGTTTAACTTCCTTGGAAGAAAAGATAGATTAATGTTTTCGCCTTCATTTGATTACCAGAAAAAGGAAAATACACAAAACAGAATTTCTAAAAAAATAAGTAAATAAAATTTAAATTTCATAGGGCCCTATTATTGTATACAAATTAATAAATTAAGTTGTTTTTATGAATTCAATTAATTAACCATTAAAATGGAACACAGAAAAATTTAAATAAAAAAAAAGAAAGTGCAGAATTTGGGCCCTAAGAATGTAATTTTTGTTAAACTTTTAATAGGCCTAAATTGCTGTTAAATTAAACAAGTTTCATGATTTTAATTAATTAGACATGTTTTTTGTTAAAATTTAATATAATCATCCAAAACAATTCAAACGAGAAAAAAAAACTGAATCCAGAAAAATTTAAACGGAAAAAAAGTTTTTGGAAAAAATAAAACGGATTTCATAGGGCCCTACAAATATCATGCATCTGAAGCTATAATTTTAATACTAAGCAGCAGTGCATATTATATAGGGCCTATTTTAATTTTTTTAAATGGCGCTCACTCGTTTTTGTGAAAGACCCAAGAAGGAC